TCTCAGTCTTGACAAAGTCATTATAGGATGAGTTCAGAGGGGGAAAAGAAAAAGGGATGTTGAGGTCAGGGTAGTCTGGACCAAAGTGAGTACCAATAAGGGATAACCCTAACAGATGATAGATGTCAAGGACAGTAGGGGCCATCATATCACATTTAAATTGGAAGAAATTGAAAGCAGAATTCCAAAAACAAAGAGCAGTAGGTATTAAAAATGGGTCCTCCGAAATAGTGAACCTGGATAGTTGAAGGGTGTCGAAGAGGCAAAGTTCCTGGAGATCCAGTGTCTTAACGGGAATGACCCGATCATACCATTTCTCCCATTTTGGTCTTATTGTGGGCCAATAGTGACGGGGTCGGTTCACTCTCCAGCTTCCCCAATCAAGACCGCCTTCATGAAGGAGGCAGTGGTCCTTCAAACGCGAGTACAGAGCTGGAAGCTAAGTAGGGGCCTCTTTAAAAATAGGCCCAAGCACATATTTCTGTTGCTCATGGCAACGGGGAATGAAAATACGCCCATCAATAGCACTTTTCTCGCCAGTTTTGTATTTTTCATACTCTTCAGCAATGATCCTCTTTAAGGCTACGGATGGACTCACGCGCTCCACGACTGGTATCTTCAAGGAGGAAGAAGCCATTGACAGAAGTTTTTAGAGGACGAAAGGTAAAGAAGATGAGAGATCAATAGAAATGAAGGGTTTGTGTGTTAGGCAAGCAAATAAATCAAAAGCACGAAATGAAAGGGTTTTTAAACCTTGATGTCTGAAAGATGCCCAATCAGTTTAAATGGGTCAAATTCATAAGAAGTACTGAAGGTACGAATATGAAAAGTTTCCCTCAAGAGTGATCGTTTGGGAGGAAAACGTATCTCAAACACTTAGATTGGCTTCGAAATCAAATATTTGGCTCCGAAGCCAAGGTTTGGCTCCAAAGCCAGATGACAAACATTCAGCTAGGTCTTCGAAAGTAGGAAGTTGACTTTGAAGCACGTTTCATACCTAAGAGTACAAGAATGCTCAGGTGTTTGTTTGCTTCAAGGGGATTAAAGACTTGATTTTGGATTTCTAATTGAAAGTAAAATCCTTCGAAGTAAAATTTGAAGTACTCTGCAGCTAGAATTTGTTTGTTTTAGACTTCGAAGTTGCAAAAAACCAATATTTGGTCAAGCAGTGAAAGAACCCAAAAGGACTCACTCTTTAAGAATAAAATAGTGCAATCCTTAAGGGAAGTTTCCATACTTCGAAACACATAGACTGTTTAATCGAAGCAAAGATAGTTAATTCGAAGCTGTTGATTATGTTAACCATATGATTGGAATGAGAATACCTAAGGCAAAGATTGTCAGTTATACTCCATATGTTAGAGATATTCAAATTAGGTTTCCAGTATTCCATTAGAAATGTTCAAATCAGGTTTTGAAGGACAAAATTGGTAAATTCGAAGCTCTAATCTTGTTCGATTTGGACGAATAGAATGATTACGAGTATGCAATTGGAATATAAAACTAGACCATGCCAAATAAAGAAAGAAAACCTAGCTTTGTTGATATGAAAATAATTACATTAGAAAGCCTTCTTGTCTACAAATTGAATTTCATAAAAATAAAGAATAGAAAGAATAACAAGGTCATGAAATTTGCTCCAACAGTGGTCAATGAATTTATGTTCCTTTTTTATTCTGTCCTCTATCCTATCCAAGCTGGGTTGCTGTAGTTGATTTGTTCTTATTTGAAGGAACAGTTGTTCAGCTTACATTTCGAACTCCGTTTCCTTCAATCTGTGTTCCATCTCATCCATATTTAGATCATTCCAGTATGCAGAATCTTTATTCTTGAAGTCATTATATTCGTCAATAAGATTCTCTAATTCATACTGGGTTTGAATTCGATGGGCCAAGATTTTGTCCAAAGATTAAGTGGTAGTCAAAGAAGTTTGGTACCAATGAAGAAGCATTGGGAGTTGATCCAAAAACATCTGAAGTTCTGCTTAAGAAATGGGGTTGAGGACATGACCCCGAGTCATAATGTCATAAGCCCATCGAAAGTTCTTAAGAGGAATATCACCTCCAAGAACATTGAAGGGCAAGAGAGAAAAGGTTGCAAGCAAAAGTTGAGCTTGGTATCGCTCAAATATGGTGGAAAGATCTGGAGGTTGGTAGGAAGGAAGAAACTGATTCTCAAAGAGAGTAAGTTTCAATTCTTCCATCCAGTAAGGGTTTTGAGGAAGAGAAAGTGCATGAGGGTCCATCCCAAAGGAAGAAGGGAACTGGGGATTATTCATACATTCAAGCCAGTCAGAAAAGTAAAATTTTGCCTTCTTGGCTAAGAATGACGGCTTGTATCCTTGTGCTTCCTCTAGACGAGGAGTTGCTCACATTATCTTCGTAGGCATGGAAAATGTGTACCACGCTACAAGTAAGTTGTCCTCCAAACTGCGTTAGGGATCGATGGATACATAGAGGTAAACCATCGAGCTCCGAACAAAATGAGAGATAGACAGATAATCAGCAAATTCGACGAATCAATGGTGAATTTGCTCTCTGAGCTTGGATTCATCAGGTTCTGGCCAGTTTCTCCAACAAGTAGACCTGGAGGAAGAAGGAGCAGTTGTGTCCCATACAGAGGTTGGTGAGGTAAAGGAAGAAACAACTGTGTCCCATGCAGAAGATGATAGGGCAGACAAAGAGTTTCCAAGATCCATTTTTGCAAATGATTGATCTAAGGGTTCATAATTGGCAAACTTCAGGTCTAGAGGTTGGTACGTTGCAAAAGCTTCCATAACTTGCATAAATAGAAGCAGATAGGTGTAATCAATAAATGCATTGAGAGTCTTTCGAGGCCTATAATCATCTTCCATAGACTCCTCGTATGCTCGATCAATGTAAGAAAAGGTTTGCTTGGCCATGAGGATTGTATCAGTCTTTTCGAACGCTCAGATAGTGGGAAATGTTCAAGGCGTAGAAGAGAATTTAATACAGTACCAACATTGCAATGATGGACGTCGGTTGTAGTTCTAAGAAGATGCAAAGTCCATGCATGTCCTAGGACATGGGTAAAGTGCTTTGATCCACTAATATCACAAAGTATTAGGTATATTAGTGCGAGGGGTAATATTGGCTGTATAATTTGTAGAAGCCAATCACAATTCAACATGTGGCATGAAGAGGACAATTTGGGGAGTTAATACAAGTTGCCAACCATAATCAGACACGTGTTAGCCCGTATTGATAATAATGGGTCTACGTAGCACCGGAACAATCGACGGATATAAGGTGATGTGGCCTAACGGTTACTCACAGAGTTCAAATTCAAAATCAAGAGAGAAACCTAACCGCAAAGGTGGCGTAGTGGGACTGACTGTGAGAGAGCATGTTCAATAATCATGGGAGGACATTTTGACGATTAGAAGCCCAGTTCGACAGTTATCATTGAAAAGTATAAATAGCAGAGAAGGCTCCAGAGTGAAGCATCTAGACTCAGATCAAAAAACCAGTTTTACTTACTTTGTTTTCCCTTCCAGTTTTTACAGTTCTTTACATTTCTGTACTTCAAATTTCTGTACTGCACTTCATTCATAGAAGTAGTTTCAAATAGCTTATTGCTGTAAACCTCTACGAGCCTGGGTCAGATCATTGTAAGTTTTTATTTTACTTAATGAAATTTTGAAATTATTCTTCACTTAGTTGTTATTTATTAAATTCTCCTAAACAAGCCACCAGTAAAAGTCCTCTTCATTGAGGTTGAAAGAACTAAAACACAATCGTTTGATAATTGGTTGGCAATTAATCTTCTGTAAGAACTGATTGATCCTTATTGGCATGCTTAAAATTACAATATTAACCTTCGAAAGCCAAAAAGTCAACAATACTACATTGTTGGTATGTTCTGTGCTGCTATGTCTCTTTGTTATTCTGTCTCTTTGTTGAGTGATCTGTTATATGTTTCTGTGTATATCTGGACTACAAAAGGGATTGAGGAATTGCTGATCTTGTGCTTCTAGATTGGTGGCATTTTGTTGGAGCTTGCTATTGCTGATCTGCTTGTGCTCCTTGGTTGTTGCTTTCTTTTGGGGGTGCTTAGCATATGATAAGATGAGTTTTTTGGTACCAAGCTAGTTGAGATAATCTAATTCATTCTGATGCTTTGTGCACCCTCCCATCTTTATTGATGTTTTGATATTTTTGTGTATACATCTTGTACATTTTAACGTCATCAATAATGTTTATATTTTTTATCAATCAAAAAAAAAAAACAAAACAAAACAAAAACATAGTCTGATGCCATTATTTAAAATTGTCATTGCTAAAAAGTTCAAGGTTTCCCAATAGAAAGACCGTTTTAATATGGATACTCTTAACTGGGTCGTCACATCCGCAGCCTAGTTGGGTCCAAACCCAAAATCCAACACACTGTTTAAAGCGTGAAACACCACCTCTCTTCCGCTGAAAAGATAGCTATTTCACTTTTTAACTATTTTAAGTTGGGTAAAATAGTTATATTTAAAAAGTTGATTTTTTTTTTTGTATTTATTTATTTTTTATAATTGATTTAATGATTATAAAAAAAATTTAATAATTATGAATTAAATGTAACATTTTATTTTACCAATTATTTTAATTTAATTTTATCTTTTAATAGGCTATTTTATTTCCCTTTTCATTTCACTTGGAGACTTGTAGAAATTGAGACCTCGTTTGAGATTTTAATAACATTTTGATTTTTTAACTAAAATATGATGTAAAAAAATTAATATATTTGAGATAATTTTTTAATTTTTTACAAAAAAAATATGTAAAAAATAAAAAAATAAATAAAATACTTAATTTTACTTTATATAATTTATAAAAAAAATTAATTTTTTAATTTTTAAACTAAAATGTGATGTCCTCAACCAAATCCTCTTTTCCATGCAATTCACCAAGATAAATAAATATATATATATATATATATATATATATAATAAACAGTTAGATAGACATGTGAGTGGCCTTTTATATGTATCCCCCTCCCCTCGTGTATTTTAGCCATTATTGGATGGTACTCAACCCCTCTCTCTCTCTCTCTCTCTCTCTCTGCAACATCATTGATGCTCTCTGTCTCATTTTATTTTTGTTTTCTATTTTGATCTTTGATGGTTTTCTGTCACTGTAAGTAAAATTATCAACTAGTACACAAATCCTTCTCTCTTTTCCTTATCTATATGCATATAAATTTAATAATATTGGTATTAAAAATATAAAAAAAAAAAACTATATATGAAGAGCTTGCTCACATGTTGCATATCTTCTTCATCTTCTTCCAAACCCAACTTCAATTCACCTGAAGCTACGGTTTGGATCGGAATTTTAAATTTTTAGTTCATGGGTTAGTGTTGAAAATGTTTGCAATCCTTAGGGTATTTCATGGTTTCATCATCACGTTCTTCTTTCTTTCATTCTTTCAGGAATTTTGAACATGAAAAGTGTGATGGCTAAATCAAGAATGAAGAGGGAGAGTAATTTGCATAATTAGATTAAATATGTGATATTGATTACAAGCGAAATAATTTAGTAGTTCGGTTTGGTTCTCAAATTTATGGCGACGTACTTTCATGGGAGCTCGGAAATCCAAGCTGATGGTCTGCAGACACTTTATTTGATGAACCCTAACTACGTGGGATACTCTGACAACTCTGACACACATCAACAGCAACAACTACAGCCACATCAACCACCGTCCAATCTCCTCCTCTTCAATTCTCCCACCAAAAACGCGCTTAACTCACACGCGCCACCACCCCAAAACCACCATTTAGTCGGTATTCCCCTTCCAACCGTTAGATCTGCTTATTCTGATGATCCAAACCGTTCATTGACACATGAAATCCCGACCCTCCATGGTATGCTCCCTCGTTTCCAATACAATTCCTGGGGCATGGCCGATCAAACAGCAATGGCAACGAGTGGTTCTGGTGGCGGCCTGGTTGATTTCGCATCACAATTGGGCTTTCGAAGGCCGGTGGTCCCACCCACTACTACCCAACAAGGTTTGTCCTTGTCCCTTTCGTCCCAACAGCCGACTTACCGGTCACTTGCCGGAGAACATGACATTTCGGGTCAGGCTCCTGCAAGCGGTGGCTGCGAAGGGCAGGGATCAGGCGGTTCGTATTCTTCGGTGTCGAATGGAATCTCCGGTGTGATTTTGGGTTCCAAGTACTTGACTGTTGCACAGCAACTTCTTGATGAAGTTGTTAATGTTGGGAAGGCGATTAAGATCGACGACAGTGAGGGGACAAAAGAGAAGGCGAAGATGAGTAGAGAATCAATGACGGAGAGTGAGGGACACGGCGGTTCAAGTGGTGGTGGTGGGGAAGCAAGTTCTAAGGGTGGGGCTGAGCTCACGGCGGCGCAGAGACAAGAGGCTCAGATGAAGAAGGCAAAGCTTGTTAATATGCTTGATGAGGTAACTTAATTTATTTGCTTTCTTTATTAACTCAAATTTGATCACTAGAATTGGATTTAATTTCGATTTGAGATGGGTTTTGATCCTCATATGAAAATCCATTGGTTAGAGTATGTGAAGGTTCAAATTGGCTCATTTTTGAATTTTTTTTTTTTTTTTTTGGATCGCAGAGAGAAACTTACTGCCAAAACTAAGTGAGGAGTATGATTGTTATTGATCATTGTTTTAAATAGTGATATCATAAATAGTGATATCAGGTATCGATGATATTGTTAAATAGCAATTTATATTCAACAGTATCAATTGATATATCAATTATCATCTCAAATATCAATAAATATTGGCTGATATTTCCAACTATGTTATCATACAGGTTCGAATCGAAGAAGGAAATTGGGTAAATTTGATGTTTAGAAAAGGGACAAAGATTGGGCCTGAGCCTCTTGCTTGGGTCAAAACGTGTAGGTCCAACCTAGACAATGCCAGCTTTTATAAAAAAAAAAATTGCAGCTAGAAAATGGGAATAATTTACAAAATGATTTAAGTCATGAAATATTACTTGATGCTATTTAAATTAAAAAAATTTAATAATTTACATTTATTGTGGTGTCAATCATATCATACTAATTTTACGGCAACACAATACCCTTTTTAATGTAAGATTTGGAGTAAATTTTCATTGTCTAATAGCATTTTTATTTTTTAATACCTTATTATTTAAAAACTCAACGTGGTACTGCGCAGTACTGAATAATTACTCTAGGCAAACTCATTTTACTGCATGGTGGGCTTGGTGGCCTCAAAGCTTGTTTTTATGGTTTTAAATAAAAGAAAATGTGTGATGATTAACTGTAAAATAGTTGTAATTACAATTGGATCATAATGGAAATTAGTGAATTTTCAATTATTATAAAATTGTTGTATTAACAACAATTTTTTAGTCATTACTATCTGTTTTAGTTATGTATAAATTAACTAAACACATCCATGATAATATCACATAGTGTATGCTATTTTAGATGATATTATTATAATGGGTGAAATTAAGAAATGAATTAATACTAAAATAAAAATTTAGAGAGAAACACTCGGGTGAAAATAGTTTAAAAATTGTAGAACTTAAACTAAAAATATATGAAATTTTAGTAGCAATATAGAAATATAAAAATGGAGAGGTGAAAATTGAAAATCAAGATATAAAATAGAGTGAAATTTTTAGTTGTTCAGGTTTAATTATTAATAAGGATGAGGAGGGATTAGACATGACATGATCTAATCCATAGAGTCAAGGTAGGTTGAATCAAGCGGTGTAATACTTCTGGAATATCATGTAATTGATGAATATCAATAAAATTAACAGCTTTTTTTTTTTTAGAACTATATAGTGCCAAAAAATGCTTTATAAGACAAAAAGTTAGGTAACTATGAAATAACAATGTTCATAAAATAAGTGTTGCTGGAATAAAGATATTTGATGAAAGTGATGTGTGATTAATTAAAATTGAATATATTTGTAAAATAGTAAGAGTAACATTAATTGAAGATAACTTTAGCGAAAACATATTAAGATGGCTTGGTTAAATACAATAAAAATTTATGGATGCCGCAATAAAAAAGAACGATATTATTGTCATAAACAAAAATATTAGAGAAAAGAAAACCTAAACTGGCATTGACTCTTATCATAAAAAATAATAATAATTTATTTAATTTAATTGAAAAGGTAACTATTTTGGGTAAATTTCATTAACCTTCCTTAAAATTTGAAAAAAAATACATTAAGTTTCATAAGTTTTAAAAAATTACATTGAATTCTTTTAAGATTTTAATTTATATAACACTTTACTCATTTTTTTTTTTTATATCAATAATTCGTTAAACTTGTATATAGAAAAATTATGGTATTATCTATTTAATACTAAAACGTAACCCTTATTCATCTATCTTGTTACATATCATTTGTATTAGTTCTAGTTATTCCAATCTTAATAAAGGATGATGAACATAATAATACTAAACTTGTGAAACTTGATGTATTTTTTCTTTCAATGTAATTTGTCCAAAAAAACAAATTATATAGCCCACCTTATATTGGGATCACCTGGTTTGATTGGTTTTACTTGAAATATGAGAACATGCTTACTTACTAACTAATTAGAAAAACTGGTTTTTGTATATTTCTTGTAACCATTGAAGGTGGAGCAAAGATACAGACAGTACCATCACCAAATGCAGATTGTAGTTTCATCATTTGGGCAGGCAGCAGGAACTGGGTCAGCGAAATCGTACACCGCCCTCGCTTTGCAAACAATCTCAAAGCAATTCAGGTATCTGAAAGATGCCATTACCACCCAAATCAAAGCCGCATGCAAGAGCCTTGGTGAAGATGAGAAGACTAGTGAGGCTACAGGTTCGAGACTCAAGTTTGTGGATCATCAGCTTCGACAACAACGGGCTCTACAACAGTTGGGAATGGTCCAACAACACAATGCTTGGAGACCCCAGAGAGGTTTGCCTGAGAGAGCTGTTTCTGTTCTTCGTGCTTGGCTCTTTGAGCACTTCCTTCACCCGTAAGAGTGGTTTTTTTTTTTTTTTTTATAAAACAAATTTAACAAAAAAAAAAAAAAGAAAAAAAAAGAGAGTTTGTTGATGTTTTTGACTTCAATAAACACAAGCTTTGACTTCAGATAACAATTGACTACTTTGCTACGCAGGTATCCTAAAGACTCAGATAAGCACATGCTTGCGAAACAAACAGGGCTTACTAGGGGCCAGGTATCAATTAGATTTTACTTGGCAAGATTTTTTAAAAAATTATTGAATTATGTTTTTTGAGATTCTTTTATGGTTATAAGCATTTTGAAACATTGTATAGAGAGATTTAGAGACATAAAATGATTAGTTCTTCTAACTGAATTATTATTATTATTTATTTATTTTTGGAGAAAATACTTTATATTAACTATTTTTAGGATTCTAGATTCTCTCCGGTCCAAATTAATCAACTGAACAGTCCAATTTGGGTCACTAGGCCTGCCACGAGTCTTGTTTCGATAATCCACTTTGTTCTTTTTTTAAATTTCTGAATAGAAAATCATATAAATTTGATAAATTTGAATCAGATAAAATATAGATCCTCTATTTTTAAAATTATATAGGTCATCAACTATTATAAAAATAAATATGATAAACTCATATGACTACATTTATTGAATTAATATGATTTTTTCATAAATGATTTACTCATAGGAACCTAAAGAAATGGAAGGCGTAAATTATTGAAGACAGACTCATGACAAGCATAATGGGTCAGGTTCAACTATCTGGTCCACATAATGATGATGTAGTAGAGAGACTTTAATTTTAGTTTTAGTTTTAGGCCTCGTTTGGCAAGAGGCTATTTTAGCCAATTAGCCAAAAAGTTACTAAATTAGCCAAAAAGCCAAAAATCCATACCAAAAAGTCAAAGATTCTCTTTTCTCTCTACTTTTTACACATCTTTTCGTAATTAGCCAAAAAGTCTTCCCAAACATACAAATTTTTTTTACCTACATTTTTAGCCAAATAGCCAAAAAGTTACTAAATTAGCCTATTCCCAAACGAGGCCTTAGTTTTAGTTTTTATTTTTATTTTTTACCACCAGATGCAAACTTTGTTTCTATTGGTAGGAAATTTAAATTAAAAAAATTGGATTAATATATGGTATTTCTAATCATTTTTAAACTTAAAGTATTATTAAAGCATTGATGTAGCGTAATATAAAGTATTGATTTAGCTTATTGATCATGAAATATAGATCTTAATTCCGAACCAAAGTAATTAAAGGATTTTTGTATGAAATGCAGGTGTCTAATTGGTTCATAAATGCTCGAGTCCGGCTATGGAAGCCAATGGTTGAAGATATGTACTTGGAGGAAATGAAGGATCAAGACCCAAATGGTTCTGAGAACAACTTGAACCAAAAAGAACCTAACAAGGACTCAGGATCAAAATTCACTACTCCACAAGAGAACACTACTTTCCAAATGGATCAAACTAATAGTAGTCTACAATCCAAGCAAGAGACAGCAATCAACCACACTTCTTCTCCCACTGAAATCTCAAACTCGGCAGCTTCAACATCACCGCTTGAACGATCGCTTCAAGGCGGCTTCACCAATTTTCAAAGAAGTCCAAAGAAGCCGAGAAGTTCAGACATGTTGAGTTCACCAAGTAGTATACTTTCAATGGACATGGACATGAAAAATAGTGAGACAATTGGCACTAGTATAACTAGTAATAGTCATGGTAGTGGATTTGGTTCATACCCAATTGGGGATATTGGAAGATTTGTTGATCATGAGCAATTGGCCACCACAAGGTACCATGGAAACAGTGTTTCACTCACTCTTGGCCTTCCCCACTGCGAAAACATGTCTCTGTCCAATGCTCAGCAAAACTACATATCCAACCACAACATCCAGTTGGGAAGTAGACTCAATTTGGGAAGTGTTGAGACTCATTACAATGGTATGAATATGAACACCTCACAACCTTCCCATTCCGACATTGGATTTGAGAATGTCGACATTCAAAATAGGAAGAGCTTTGCTGCTCAGTTGTTGCGTGATTTTGTGGCATAAAGAATTTAAGAAACATCCACTTCAAGCTCTCTTTTAGTGCAAGTGTGATGTGGCTCTAAGAGATCATCAAAAAGATTGAAGTGATGAAGTCCATGGCTAAGGGAAAGGACAGTGATGCGGTCATATATTGATTGATATATTAATAAATATCGGTATGAGAAGTTTAAAATTTCAGTACGTATTAACCAATATGATATTTAAAACTGTGCTTTCTAGCCTTGTTTTTGTTCCCCTTGGTGGAATAGAGAAAATTCATGCTTAGTGTAAAGATAGAAGAGAGGATTATTATATATACATTAGGGGACAACTTATGTTTTATCATTACTGATATATAGCTTAAGGTTGAGTGTGTAAGGTTGGAGATTGTATATATTATATTGAAACATTTGGTATAGAATGTTTGATACTGGGTATATTATATAAATAGTCCCCTTTAGTTTACACGATGTGTTAATTTAGCCTCTATTAATTCAATTTGTTTGATTTGCCTCTTAATTTAACGGATTGTGTTATTTTAGTACAATAAATAATGGTTGTTAAGTTTGGTAGATGAAAAGTCAAATTATGTGTCAATTTGGTCTCTGTAGTTTACTTTCCGTCAAAATATATGTCAATTTGGTACACATAGTTTGATTTTTCATCCACAAAACTTAACAACTGTTATTTATTAAATTAAAATGACACAATCCGTTAAATGTGTAAATTATAGGGACCAAATTGACACATAGTTTGACTTTCCGTCCACTAAACTTAACAACTATTATTTATTGGACTAAAATGACACCATCCGTTAAATTAAGGGACAAAATCGAACAAATTGAAATAATAGGGATCAAATTGATATTTCGTGTAAATTACATGGACCATATACATAATTTACCCTTGATACTTTCGATAAAATGTGCATGCAAATCTATGAGACTCTTGACTTTTGTAAATTATTTTAAGGCCCTTACCTTTGGTTTATTTGAATGAAAACTCTCGATTCCTCGTTTACTTACAATTTTAACCTTAGAATCGATAACACATTTCAATCGGAACCATGCGAATCCTAATTGATCCCAATAACTTAGAAATCATTTTTAATACCTTAATAATAATTAATTAACCCCCTAATTATAAAATAATCACTCAAAATCCTAGATTTTCAATTCTCATTAAGTTCGTTCAGTTAATCGTCTTTTAATTAGAAAACAAAGAAACTTAAACCAAATTGCTTTCTCTAACTCTAATTTAATTAAATTCTACACTTAAATAAAAATTCTAATTAAGCCCAAACCCTTACATTTTATTTTAATTGCACATTAACCCCAAATCAAGTACCTTTACACACACAAACAAACACACATACACACACACACATATATATATATATATATATATATTTGTACCTTTTATTTATTAAATCTTTTTGTACACAAATACCTACAATATATATGAAATTTGTACATACAAAATAAAAAGAAAATCCACACAAAATCAACCCACATGGGCTGGCCACTCTATGCAAATATATATATATGTATATATATATAGGTACTTTGGGAAACAAGTTTGCTTAATTAGAAGAACATTGAGCTAGGTACCAAAATTCATCATATAGGTTTTGTACTAGCCAACCAATTTAGTTTTGCTTAAGTCTAAACCTAATTAGATCATGTTTTAATACACAATTAGGGCCCTAATCACCCTTCATTCTATTACATCCTAATCCAAAACTATTCAATTCATTTGAAACTAATGGGCATTTTGGACTTTTCATACCAAATTTTCTATAAATACACCACCTTCCTCCACACATTTACACATCAAACACCACATACACACACTCATACGGCATAGAGAGAGAGGGAGATGAGAGGAAAAGAGAGCTTTGGTGTTGGAAGAGGGAAAAGAGAAGAATTCTTGCACAACCTTTTTCATAGACATTCAAGTAAGCCAAAACACAACCCCAAAGATAAAAAGGTCCCATGCAAAACTAGAACCAAATGCAAAAAGGGATTTTAGGAACTTTTAGTTCATATCTAACTTCTTGTCCATGTGCAGTTGTACCATCATGTGCAAAGTTTTAAACCAAGTTCATCAAACATTGGTAGCCTTTTCATCAAATCATATTAGGAAAAAAAAGGATAACCTACCTGTAGACAACCCATTTTTGACCGTCCTCAAGACTTGGACGTCACCGTTGGAACACTCGGTGATCCTCTTTGTTTGTGTTTCGTCTTGAGTTCCCGAAAGTCTTGGCTGCGTGCCTTGCCTCAGGATCTCTAGACTTGACTGTTCCGTGTTTGATTTTGGCACCAAACACTTGTGTTTTTACCTTGAAGGGCGGGGAATGGCTTGTTGGCCATCCCCACATTCCACCGGCCTTCTCCTAGCATCACCGGCTGTTTATGGGTGCCACCGGCCATGGTTTCTTAAAATCAATGGCCGGTCGGCGCCTTGCCTCAGGATCTCTCGACTCGACTGTTCCGTGTTTGGTTTTGGCACCAAACACTCGTGTTTTTGCCTTGAAGGGCGGGGAATGGCTTGTTAGCCATCCCCACATTCCACCGGCCTTCTCCTAGCATCACCGGCTGTTTATGGGTGCCACCGGCCATGGTTTCTTAAAATCAATGGCCGGTCGGCACTATATTTGGCCGGCCGACACTTTATTCTGCCGGCGACCTCTTTTGCTGGCCGGTGCGACTCCTCTGCACCCTTGAGGCATGGTGCATGCCAGTTGTGCCAGTTGGAATGCACCATCACTCCTCCCCGTGCAGTTTTTGGCTGGTGTGAACCTTTGAACCCCCTTTCCTTCTAGAAGCTTGAACCCTTTGGCCAAGCTTCTTGGGGAAGCTTAGCCAGCTGTATTAGCTTCTCCAAGAGGCCAAGAACCCTTTTGCACCCTTTGCCCCTTTCATCTAGCTTCTTGGAGAAGCCTAGAACCTTGGCCTTTGCCTATATAAGCACTCATCATCTCCCTTTGTTAGAGGTTAGAGCTTTTGAATCAAAAAACCAGAGCTTCTATATCTATATATCTGATATATCATCCTCTCTCTCTATATCTCCCTCTCTCTCATCCTTAGGGTGTGTTTGGAAGCCTAAAAGTGCATTTTGACCTTACTTTTGCACTAACACACACACCATTACATCTTGCTCCGAGATTGAGAGGCATTGAGGGTTGTTTGTTGAGGTTTTGGACTGATTTTGATCAGTAGGGAGTGGCTGGATCATCTGTTCTTCAAGGTTTCTTGAAGGGTGAGACATTTGCTTTAGTTTCCCCAATCTTGCACTAGTTTTCTACCTATCTTGCATGCTGATTTAGGCTTTGTATATAACATGAAAAAGTCTTGTATTTTCATGCTTAACATCTTTCATTAAGGGTGTTTTGGCATTGGGGGTCGAACTCCTCCCCTTAGGCCTCTTTTGGCCTATTTTGGTGCTCTTTTCTTTAAGTTTTGTTTACTTTGTTGTGTTGGTCTTCTCACCATTGAAATCCAGTGGATTTCTAGTGGTGATGGAGTGATTTTGAAGTCTTGTGTAGGGGAGGGACACCCCTCTCCCCTTTGTCTTTCTTTTACCTTTTGTTTTGGCTTAAAAGGGCAACATGCATGCTTGGTTGTTTTTGGTCCCATCTCAGAGGTTTTTGGGTGCCTATTAGTCATGTTATATCTCTGTCTTTGGTCGGATTTGTAGCCCCTAGCATGCATCTTGTACTTGCTTTGCAATTCCTTATCTTGCCTAGAAATGTGCCATGTGTTTAGCCTAGTATATCTTCATGATTTGGCTTAGCTTATTGAAGTTTTTGGTCATGATTTGTCATGCTTTAGGTCTGTTGGCCACTGTTTTTGTCATGTTTGTCGTGTTTTACAAAGCTCCTTTGCATTCTAGAATTTTGGTCTTGAGCGAGTGAGTCATTAGCATGCTTTGGTTAGGTTTTTTAAATGATTTGGAGTCATTTCTTATGCTATTTCAGTCCCTATATCATGCTTGTATGACAGCATTCATCACCCTTTTATGCCTTGAGGTGTTGTAGTTTTGTGCCTTGAAATGGGCATTGTGCATGCTTGCATGTTTAGGTCACTTGGGTTGCCATTCATGAGGGTTTTGGGGTGTGTTTTAATGCATTAAAACTCTATTTTTCTGGTTGTTCCATTCATACCATGTGTGGTTATGATAGTTGTGGTAGAAGGCTTCTTTTATGCCTTAGCCTTATACTCTTTGGTATGCAAGTTTGCATGAGTATTTACCCATCATTCCATCACTTTTGGCCACTGTTTTGGGATGTGGCTGAGGGTCCTCCATCTTAGTGTAAGCCCATGGATCATATATTTGCATCTTGTAGTATGTTCATAACATTGCATGTTGTGGTATCCTTATGGTTTGTGCATTGTTGCATGCCCACCTCTTTACATACTTGCCTATCTAGTGTGCATTGTAGTATTGCTTGTAGTGTTGCATGGTAGTGGCATTACAATGTTGTTTGCATGATAGTTTGCATTGCATCACATTTGACATGTTTTGCATCTTTACTCCTTGTTGCATTTTTGAGCCATGTTTGCACAACATGCATTGCATTGCTTGGTTTGGGGTGTCAAGCCTAGTGTGAGGGTGAAAGGCGTTCATACTACAAGTGATGAAACACATCTCAACCCTCGGTCACCGAGGCCCTTGACTTTGACATGATAGGGTCTTGGTCCTCATTTGTGTATTGCATGCATTTTACATTGAATGACAAGTTTGGTCCCTTAGGCTATCATGCACAATTGATGGCCCAAGGATCAAGGACTATGCTCCCCTGAGTTCAATACATGATAGGGAACATGATCATGCTTACATGTGCTTGAAATTCTATGCCATGCACTACCTGTCCTCTGCTACTGTCAAAAACCAGCTTCTGCAGGAAGTTTTTGCCGATCGGCACTGTAGAATGCCGACCGGCCGTGGATTGGTGGCCGATAGACTTGAAAGCAGCCGATGGAAGTTTCCCATGGCCGGTGGTCATTTAACTTAGCCGGTGGTGTTATGCAGTGGTCATTAAAGATACCCTGAGACTTTGGAAATTTTCAGAGGAGCAGGGCAGCATTAACAGAGGCAGCAGTGGCATGGTACGGGTTTCCAGGCAAAATGAACCGAGCATGCATCTTTCACGTATCCTGAGGCGGAGGCTGCGGCCATCTTCTCTTTGCATTTACCTTGTTAATTAGATTAGAAATTTTGTAATAATTAATTTAGTATTATTTATTCGGACTGTAATATTTATTTGGACCCTCCGAGTGAGGGCAATTTTGTAATAAGTGTGCGTGAGTGTGTGTATGTCTTCCCACCCCACGTCTTTCTTCCCTTTTATTTACCCGCTTATGATGGTTAGTGTTAGGGCATATTTAAATTAGCATACCTTAATGCTTTAGCATGCGTGCATCTATACATTTGTCTTACATTGCACCGAGGCTTCGGTT